GACAGCTTGATTTTAACTCTCGTATCCTATCGCTTGTATGATGTGTCAATGTGTGAAATACTACGGAAATACAAGTCAAGCTGTCTGTGCAAGCGCTACAGACAGGTGTTGGCGATAACTGGTACGCGGCGATAACTGGTCGCTAGCCAGCAGAGTTACTACCCTTTATTACATTGATCATGGCTGACAGTAAAAGATACATATCAGCAACAACAGTACACACAGTCCCGAATATATCCAGCAACAAATCTGTTTGGAGTAATGGGAAATGTAACGTTCATTAAAAGTGCGTTCCACAAATAATTCTGAATTAGAAAATCTAAAATGAAAAGAGAATCTCGTGAACTTTTACAAATTAATGTCATGACTGTTTTACTACACGATCTTATATTTACACAGTTGGTACCAGATGCTTTACATCACAAGCGCGGCAGCTATACAACTATACCATGTCATTGTTAAAGGAGGATACATAAGTCCCAAAACATTCAAAGTAAATTTAAACTCTCCCCTTTTTTAATCGTAGAATATATGTTCGTTTAATTTGTGGCAAGATTATCAAAAATTGCCAATAGCTGAAGGGATGGTGTAAATCCAGCTAGGGTCCATGCAGGAAGCAAATGTACTGTAAGTCCCCATGGTCCCTAGTATGGTGATCTACCTTCAGTTGTTGGCAATATATATAGCCTGTTTTTACCTTGTATTGTCATCTATAGTTAAACTGTTTTAGATTTTATTACTAGTTTTAAATTCGAACCTGTGATAATCTAGTTATTTTACTGTCCTTCGTTGACAGGTTTTTAAAATTTACCATTAATTACTATGTATAAACTTAATTGTTCTCGTCACGATATGGCTGAAATATTGCCGATGTGACGATAAATCTTAACTCACTCACTCATTGTTAAAGCCACATAAATCTTCAGCTGTTTCAATATATAATCCTACACTGTATTCTACCAACCTACAATATGGGATGGGACTCAACCCAGCAAAAGTACTAGAATCTGTACTTTACTAAGAAAATGTAATCCCAAATATAACATGTGTGACATTTTACCACTTTCTAAATGGCATTGTGTAATCATAGCGTATGTCGTAGACATTTACCTATTTTGAGAAATCAAAGCATGGGTCTGGGTCATAACCCCGGGAAATCACAATGGGTAAAGCTGTGAATCGAAGCGAAATCACCCGTTTCTAGGACCTTGACCTTTGGCTGGACCTGCAACTAATTTTCATGGGCGGGGACATATTGCTCTCTGTGCTCTACTGTCAAATATATCATCTTACAAGATTCTAATTGTGTGGAAATAGTGAGTGAGTGAGTTTAGTTTTACGCCACACTCAGCAATATTCGAGCTATATGGCGGCGGTCTGTAAATAATCGAATCTGGACCAGACAATCCAGTGATCAATAGCATGATCATCGATCTGCACAATTGGGAACCGATGACATGTGTCAACCAAGTCAGCGAGCCTGACCACCCGATCCCGTTAGTCGCCTCTTACAAGCATGGGTTACTGATGATCAATATTCTAACCCGGATCATTACGGGTTTGTGATGAAATGACATTGTAGAGGTAACATTTCATGGTTTATGGCGATTTGTTTGTTGTTTAACGCCGCACTCGGCTATATACCAGTAATGTGACGGCGGTCTGTAAATAATCCTGGACCAGACAATTCAGTTATCAACAGACCGCCTCCGTGGTGTAGTGGTTAGAGCGTCCGCCCGGAGAGTGGAAGGTCGCGGGTTCGATCCCCGACCGCGTCATACAAAAAGACGTTAAAATATGGTACTTGTTGGTCTCTGCCTGGCGGTCGGCATTAATGGGTACAACAAGAACTGGTCGGTTCGGAGTCAGTATAATGTGTCTGAGTGGGGTATCCATGCTTCACTGCGGCATGGTATCTCAGTGGGCTAGCACTATAAAACCAGGTTAAGTCTGGGCTAGTACAAGCAGCCGCACATATACACACACACACACGCATGCACGTCGTCATATGAGCGAAATATTCTCAAGCACGATGTTAAATCCAATTTCACCTCACCTCAGTTATCAACAACATGAGCATCGATCTACGCAAATGAGATACCAGGCGCCTAGCAAGCCATTTGTTTCGTGTAAGCCCGATAGGTTGCAAAGCTTTTAGTTTAGATAGTATTGAGGACTTGCCCAACCTTTTTAGCAACAATCATGTGTAAGCCAGGGCTTTTTTTTATAATGGTAGCTACGCCCCTGGATACCATGACATGTGTCAACCAAGTCAGCGAACCTGACCACCCGATCCCGGTAATCGCTTCTTACGTCAAGCATGGGTTACTGAAGACCAATTCTAACCCGGATCTTCATGGTAGTTCATGATATTAATCATGTATGCATATATGTTTCTATCTCTTTGTGGGTATTTAATTTGTAAGACTATGCAACGTTAATACGTATGATACGTGGCGCAGGTGTCGATTGAAATGGGTATCGGATGGTTACAATGTAAGACCTAGACGAGTGCGTGTCATCCTAGCCTTTGGCAACAATCATGACATACTGGTAATCGGACGTTTTGAAACACAGGGGCCCGTTTCATATTTTTACCGATCGAAGCGCTGCGACTGTCGTAGGTCTATATTAAAGTATGGGATTTACGATCACCTTAGCGCTACGATTGGTTTGTGAAATCGGGCCCTCGAGACTTGTGGTCAATGTGGTACGGTGTATAGAGCGTGTTCCCAGAGAACTGAAAGCCGGGGTTTGATCCCCGGCAGCATCACACCAAATCACGTTAATAATGGTACTTGTTGTTACGCTGCCTGGCGCTCACTATGGGATGAAACAAGGACCTATGGTCAGCTGAGAGTCAGTGAGCTGTGTCTGGGTGAGGCAATCACGTGACCCTGCGACAAGGAATCTGATTGGTCGAGCCATTGGACAAGCATCCGCTTACATGCTGCTAAATATTGAAGACCCTATTCCATTACTCCTAAAATGACCCCCTGATTTACAGGCATGGCAAGACACCCAACCCCCGCCCACCCACCCGCCCCTCAATGGCGTGCCATGCAGACCCTGAGACAAATACGCTCAATGCAATCTAGAAAATGCAATCTAGAAAATGTGTTACCCGTGGTTCCGGGTTAGAATGAGCCTTCAGTAATTCATGCTTGTCGTAAGAGGCGACTAACGGGATCAAGTGGTCAGGCTCGCTGGCTTGGTTGACACATGTCATCGGTTCCCAATTGCGCAGATTGATGCTCATGCTGTTGATCACTGGATTGTCTGGTCCAGACTCGATTATTTACAGACCGCCGCCATATTGCTGGAATATTGCTGAGTGCGGCGTAAAACTAAACTCACTCACTCCCTATGTGTGAAGCCTATTTCTGGTGTCCCCCGCCGTGATATTACTGGAATATTGCTAAAAGCGGCGTAGAAGTAAACTCACTTTGTGATATTGCTGGAAAAGCGGCGTAAAACTAAACTCACTCACTCACTAGAATATGTGTCATGTCTAGATTACCACAGTTTCAAGGTCTTGAGTGTTCATGCATCTGAGCACCTTTTATTATATTTTATAAATATATTTTAGACACTGTCTTTATATGTAAAATAAGTTCAGTTCAGCGACTAGATAATCATTTTTTTAAACAACTTTCAAAATATCAGGATTATATCTATTGAATGTATAAAGATTAAATTCGATTCACAGTTTTAAATATATTTTTGTGATAAAGATAGGAAACGCATCTGCCTCATGTGACGCTATGCCCCAACATCTCAAACACTCTTTGTAGTTGTTATCAGTGCTCAGCCGAGGTCCTGTTTACGGAACCAGATGAGATAATTCTGATGTGAGTCACTAGACGACCTCGGAGTTTCCGAAATTAAGTTTTAAAACATGCTGTGCTGGTGTAGATACTGCAGCGTGGCCTGGTGGAACGATAACAGGCAACAAATACAGCGAATGGAGAAATACGTTGACGAGTTCTGCTGCAGGCGGATTTCAAAGCCTTGCCAAGCCAAGCCTTTTTTTAAAGAAATACTAATCATGTTTGTTTTTGCTTTTTTTTTTTTAGTTAGTGAGTGAGTGTGAGTGAGTTATGTTTTACCCCGCTTATAGCAATATTCCAGCAACATCACGGCGGGGGACACCAGAAATGGGCTTCACACATTGTACCCATGTGGGGAATCTTCGGCGTGACGAGCGAACGCATCAATCACTAGGCTTAATTAAACCACTGAGCTACTTCTGTTTTTAACGCCGAATAATTGCAATATTCCAGCTATATGACGGTGGTCTGTAAATAATCGAGTCTGGACCAGACAATCCAGTGATCAACAGCATGCGCATATGATCATGACACTATTTTATCAATTTATTTTTGTCCTACGACAGGGGCGGTGGGGTAACCTAGGTATGAAGGCCATTTCTGGTGTCCCTCGACGTAATATTGCTGGAATATTGATAAAAGCGGCGTAAAACCATATTCACTCATTAATTATGCTTCATTTCCTACTGTACTTTTAATCATAATTTGAACGTAAGGTGTATTGTATATATCTTAACAAACATAATGTTGTATGGTTTTACTAATTTCAATTTCTCAGCCTGCTTAAAATGATTCGAGCCATTGTTTTCATCAACAAATGGAAATTAAGGAGTGGGAAACTATGTCTCCAATATCGTTCATTTCTTTAAATATGAATCATAACCAATTCATCATATCTTGATTTTAACATTTTATAAAATTGTCAAATACTTTTGAATATCCAATGAAAATATATTTTATTCATATAAAGAGCATATAAGAGACGATGGGCGATAGATTTATAAAACGTAAATTGTGTCACGTTGCTTATAAATAATCTTATATTAAGGAGCACTCGTGTGATTCATATTTTATCAGATTCAAATCAGATTTCCGTGGGTGCAAAGGTGCATTGCAATGTTGGGAATGTCGTATTTCGCGTGCCGGGTGCAAAGGCGGAAGTGACGACACGGAAGTGGTGATTTCCATTTATGGTTGCTCGTACATCTATCAGTCAAAGCGAAGAAAATCTTGACAAACACGCAATAAAGGACACTTTCGGAAACAATTTGACCACTTGTCGGTCAGAATAACCAAGAGGGGTGAGTATCTTTTTCTGTGTTGAAAACGTCACCTGTTTGAGAGATTGGGACCCACTTTCATGAACCAGTCGCCAGCTTCAAAGTTTCACGTTGAGCAGCAGTTTGTTTTGACGCGAATCGAAAACCGTGTCATGTCGACCCGTGCGCCTGTGCTTTCTCGGCACAAAGAAGCCTAGTATCTGCTTGTCACCAGCCTGTGTTCATTGTTTTTTCATTATCATACGAGCTGTGGCTCATGGTATGTCGGGTCGACAGGCGCTGGTTAGTTAACCGGGTTGTCCGAACATGTGCATGTAATTTCGTGATATGATATTACTCACCATGCTCAGCCCCCCACTCGCCCCAAGTATGGATTGTGGTTGTCCTATGCGTAGTACACTTGATTTTCAAATTGTTTTAATTGGGAAACACAATTTTAATACATTATTCATAAATAAATGTGAATTTGTTTCAGAATTCTATCATGTTTAAATATTGGCCCACGAAAAATTCATAGTTTTGCCTTTTACCAGGCGAACTTTGTGGAATTTCAATTAGCACCACATAAATAAAAACATCAAGCTTGCATTGCCAGTTTGAACACTGAAGCTCATTAGTTAGACCAATTAGACACCACCCTATCTGAGAGCCGCGATGCTGTCCCATACAGTTAGGACTAGTTCAGCCAGCTAAATGTCTTGTTCCTACCAAGGTATCACTGACGAAGCCTGGTGTCCCCGCCGTGATATTGCTGGAATATTGCTAAAAGTGTCATAAAACTAAATTCACTCACACACTGTTATGGTTGTACCAAGAATTTAACATAAACGTCGGTGTATACCTTGGTAGGAACAAGACGTTTAGCTGGCTGGACTATGTTAGGACATGACCCTTCATCACAGCTCATGGCTTACACTAGTTACAGCCCCGTACCAGGGGTGCAGCCACTAATGATTTCTATGACAATAAGCTTATTAAATAAACTTGCTTATAAACTTAACTTGCTTCAAATTAACGTCCAACATGCTCTGTACACTTCCACTGATGATCTTTCTAGTGGTGGTCCGATTAATTGAAATAATCGAAGATTGGTCGGAGTGACTAAACGACCAAGCAATCGATCATAATTTCTCATAATCGAACACAAACAATTCTGGAACACTTGTTTTCATTAACAATATTATTCACATGGTTGGTTTTGTCTGTTACATTTCGTAAGCACTACAAGCTTGTTTCAAGTCATGATTGAATTTATCTTAAAGATTCCAAGAAATTTATGTTCCTAACATACTAGTCATCCTTTAAAGATGTGAAATTTTGCCAAAAACCCCAGAAGAACTACATTTTTTTCCCTTATTTTAATGTGCATTAACAAATTTCATAAATGACGCTAACCAATTATTTTCGATGATTGATCGGTAGTAATGAACCAATCATCAATTATGAGATTTTAACCAATTCCCAACACTAGATCTTTCTTTCCAGTTTAAGATGTCATACCAGCAAGGATTGGAACGTGACTTTGCTCAGATTCATGTACAGGACAGAGGGGGTATCCATCTCCCGCCTGCCCTCGCACCCAAGCCCAAACCCTACAACCCTGCCCCAGCGCCATACCGACCTGCCCAGGGACAACAGAAAGGTGAGATGATAACAAGCACCTGCTCGTCAATCTCATTTAGGTTACTTCTTTTACTCTAGCTTGTTACCTTTCTCTATCTTGACTGTAACAAGTGTTTGAATTAAGAGTACAGTGCGCTCTACCACAATGTATAGTGTAATATTAGTAATAAAGCACACTTTCGGATTAAATATCTTCTCTGAATTATTTTAATTACATCTGTCATTAACGTAAACCATTACCATATGGGGCAATATGAACGTCGCATTTCTACTACCAACGTAAGTTTAGATCCAGTCAGCTGACATTCCACGATTGCATTGTGGGAATGTAAACATGGCAAGCGTTACCGTGTCGCTGAAAACTTGTGAGTCGAATTGACACATTTTAACCGTCGTAAAACATAAACGTAATGTTTCCACCAGTGATGTTAGCTGCGTGAAGCAACTGCAAACCAAGAAACGGGATGCAACGGAGTAGTTTACTGTAGGAGGCCGTACGAGGCGATGACAACTGACATGCATCGTGACGTCGCTTACATCGTGACGTAATGTAAAAGGGTTCGATTAAGAGGGGGCACACTAGAATGGCGCAGTGACGGGATAACGTCATTCAATTGTTACGTCATCAAAAACTATACCTTTATTGTCTGATAATGTTGGTGTTTTTTTATTGTTCTAACCGCTAGGCATCTTAGAAGTTAAAATCTGAGATTGACTTGCGTGTTGAAATTATTGGAGGCAGGTTTCGGTCTGAGTTAATATTTTTTCAATATGAAAATACTGTGTGGTTTGTTTGAAAAATCTTGGGAGGTAGATTTAATGAAATAAATTGTTGATAATGTTAAAAAAATGTTTTTTTTCAGCCTTCTAAAGAATGTTCTCTGAATATATTCATGAGCTTATGTGACTTTGCTGGTTTTGTAACTGAAAGTACTTTCTGGGTTCGATTCCCTGTGTGCAATGTGTGAAGCCTGGTGTCCCTGCCGTGATATTGCTGGAATATTGCTTAAAGTGTCAAAAAACTAAATTCACTCACACACTGTTATGGTTGTACCAAGAATTTAACGTAGATCACTCGGTGCTGGTATTTCAGGAGGCCAGGCTGCATTCAGACAGGTTTATCATGATGGCGAAGACTTCCCTCCTCCCCCACCACAGACAGGGTACTCCGAGGATCATGCCTACCCACCCCCTCCGCCCCCAGAACAGGTGAGGGGGTACATGTACCAACAACCACTTGATGACTTCCCTCCCCCACCTCCACCCCAGCAATCTCAAGGCTACGAATACAGGGACAACCAGTATGGGGGAGGACCAAAGACTGCCAACTACATGAACCAAGTAGGGTATCGGGACTCCCCAGGACCCTACAACGAGTACGGATCATCCCCTGGAGCATATTCCCGGGGCTCCGAGGGACGCAACTCGCCATACATGTCAGGACAGAGCAACTACGCTAACGTAAACATCGTCTCGGGCAAACATGACTATGGACGAGCTTCCCCCAGTACTTACCGCGCCGAGCCTGCTCCGGGCCGCCAGGATAGGCCAGTTCCTGGACCACAGGTGCCCTCCTCATCTGAACAGATGGTCAGTACTGTGCCACCCTCTGAGAAGGAGGCGGAGGTGGATGCTCTCACAAGTCTCCTCATGCAGAGCATGGAATCCTCAGGGGATCCCGACTATTTTGGTAAATGTCTTCAGAATTCTTTACTGATTATGCTCTAAGTATCCAAACATTTCATTTTATACATCAGAGGTGCAGATAAGCTTCTAAAATTATGCACATATTTTTGTAAAAACTCAATTCCTATTAAGTCTATTGCATACAAGTATGCTTGAATTTTTGTAAATACTCAATAAATTTGATCTTAAAAGCACACACAAAAATGTCAAATCTTAGCTTGTGTACTGGTGGATAGATGAAATTACTGACATACATTGAGAGGTTCGATTTCAACACATGAACTTGGCAACTTGCAGTCTTTCTAATTGTTTCTTATGTTACAGATCAAAATATAAATAACAAACACGTAAATCAACATTTAGACTTTATTATATTTTTACAATTATTGGAAAATGGCAAAATACCCAACTGAGTTCGAGTAAGGTGGGTACAATTTATTTGGTTACTCAAAAGAAAACTAGGATACCCAATTGAAATGCACACAAGCGAGTACCTAACTCAATGACCAAAAACGTTATCGAGCTCTGATAGACTGACATGTTATGACCAACTGGCCCGCCCCTGCTTTTGCTTGATAACAGTGTAAGCATTTACACATAAGTGTTGCATCCATTGCAATAAAGAAGTTGTCTTTCCATAAAAAATTGTTCCTGTTAAACATTTCTCTGTTGGAGATCCATATTAGGCTGTGGTAAGTCATGCTCCCTGGACACAAGCTATCGTATCCCAATTGCGCAGATCGATGCTCATGCTGTTGATCACTGGATTGTCTGGTCCAGACTCGATTATTTACAGACCACTGCCATATAGCTGGAATATTGCTGAGTGCGGCGTAAAACTCAACTCACTCACTCACTCACTCACAAGCCATCGTATCCCAATTGCGTAGCTCGATGCTCATGATGTCAATAAACTTGATGACCGCCTCCATGGTGTAGTGGTTAGGGCGTCCGCCCGGAGAGCGGAAGGTCGCAGGTTCGATCCCCGACCGCGTCATACCAAAAGACGTTAAAATATGGTACTTGTTGGTCCCTGCCTGGCGCTCGGCATTAATGGGTACAACAAGGACTGGTCGACTCAGAGTCAGTATAATGGGTCTGAGTGGGGTATTCATGTTTCACTGCCGCATGGTATCTCAGTGGGCTAGCACTATAAAACCAGCTCAAGTCTGGGCTAGTACAAGCAGCCGCACATACACATACACACGCATGCAAGTTGTCATATGAGCAAAATATTCTCAAGCACGACGTTAAACCCAATTTCACCTCACCTCAATAAACTTGATTGTCTGTTCCAGAGTTGATTATTTACAGACCTCTGTCATATAGCTGGAATATTGCAGAGTATGATATTGAACAATAAACAAACAAAACTTGGTTAACTATCAATCAGCTTTTGTTAAATGATCATGTTTTCCAGGAATGTGCTCCAAATGCAGCAAGAAAGTTGTGGGTGATATCAACGGGTGTAAGGCCATGGACCAGGTGTTTCACATCAACTGCTTTACCTGTGTCAACTGCAGTAAGTAGATACTAGGACTGTTATGATTCACTCACGTATTCGGTGAATCGAATGTATAACTTTATAAATTCTATTCATTATTCACAATCACTACAATAAAATAGTCATTAATTTTAGGAGTGATTTTACTTGAACTTGGATGTTATTTATCAACTTGAGATACATGTATGCGAATGGAAACTATCGGATTCGGGCTAGTTAATAGTCAACACTCCTAGTCAGTGGGGTTGGTGGGGTAGCCTAGTGGTTAAAGTGTCCGCTCATCACACCGAAGACCCTGGTTCGATTCCCCACATGGGTACAATGTGTGAAGCCCATTTCTGGTGTCCCCCGCCGTGATGTTGCTGGAATATTGCTAAAAGCGGCGTAAGAAGCTGTCTTATAGTGAGGGTAGCATGGAGTGCTTGGGCGGATGAAAAAGAGAGGCAGAGGGAAAAAAGTTTACATCGATCCACTCAGTGTGGAATCAAGAGAGAGAAGTGCATACCGTGAGATAGGATAAGTATATAAATATACAATTTATATTAAAATTTTCAAAAATATTTTCAGATCTGAAATTACAAGGCAAATCCTTCTTTGCACTTGAGAACAAGCCATACTGTGAAATCTGTTATATGGTGAGTGTTTTCAGCTTCAGTGTTGAACATGTTTAATGCTCATATCACATCGAACTTATTAAGATTGTTATATGTAAAAATGTCTGAAGATACAGGTTAAAATTTGTTAGCTACCCATAATTGTTTGGAAGGCACATACAGATGATGGGGTAGATAGACTGATGTATGTCTCCTCATCCCAAGGAGTACATTGATCCAGAGGAAGTCAATCACTGGAATGTCTGGTCATCAATTGATTATTTACAGAACTCTAGCTGGATAATTGCTGAGGGTGATGTTAAATACCATAAAAACACAAAGAAACACAAAACAGTTTCCTGACTGTTTTATTCCTGTTTTTTTATCCCCTGCAACACGAGAGCCTCGGCTACTCGTAGACATATTCATGAAGAGTATTTTGCCATTGCGGGGGATATTGATGACTTTGTCTTCTTGTTTTTCTTGTCTCACAAATGTACCATTTTAGGAGAAAAAAAGGGGTTTTTTTCAAAATATTTTATTCAGTGAACAAATACAATACTGACAATGTTGCCATGCTAACCATGCTGTCACAGCTCCTGCAATCCTCTGTGCAGAGTTGCATCCCTTGGATTTTTCACAACCCATGTATCAAACAGTATTTATCTCTGTACTGATATTGGTGGGGTTTTTTCTTTCAGAATACTCTGGAAAAATGTTCTATCTGTTCGAAGCCAATCACTGACAGGGTAAGTTGTGTACCACACAAGATTTGGGTTTGAGAAGTACTGCTTGTTGAGCATTAATACATATTGTATTGATATCAATGTATTGTTTTGCACTAATTATTACTTTGGGACAAGTAATTCAAAAAAATATATATAGGGTTGATTTCAGTGTGGGGGTCGGTGTGATGATGTTTTGGTTGTTAATTTGTTTTTGTTTTGTTATTATTTATTTTATTTTATTTATTTTATTTTTGGGGTTGTTTTTTTTTGTTTGTTGTGTTTTTTTTTTTAGGGGATGGGTGGGGGATGTCCACCCATTTTGTTCTGGGGAGGTAGGGGTCAATTTTGAACACATGAACTGGGTTGGTGTCAGCAATTTTGTAAATAAATATATAAAAGAAACTGCTTAAAAATTATGGGAGGGGGTCGGGGGATCTCAATGTTTTGTACATGACATGCAGGGGGGATCAGTTACTTTGCACATAAATTTTAGGGGGGTCATTCACATTGTACATGCTTCTCCATAACACACACACACATAAATTATGAAATGTCCTTACATATACTTTTGTATGTTGGAAGTAGGATGTATGTATGTAGCGGCCATAAAATCTGTGTGAATGATTGTCAAACACTTTAGTTTTGAAAATGTCTTGATACAGCAATATATTCCAATACAGACTGGTTCGCCCAGTGGTTAAAGTGATCATTCATCTCCTGCAGGAACTAGGTTTGAATCTCTATGTTGATACAGGGCTGAAACCTCTTTCTTGGTGTTCCATATCATGTCATGATGGAAAATACTGCAAACATTGCATATTTACATACAGCATTCCTCCAGGACTTGATAACACTGTACAAACTGGAAAGATCTCTCCGCTCCAGTGATCAACTCTTGCTAGTTGTCCCCATGTACAAACTCAAAACCTTTGGTGCAAATTCATTTTCTCATGCTGCTGCCACTCTCTGGAACTCTCTACCATCAGATCTTAAAACCTCCCCATCACTGCCAGTCTTTAAGTCCAAGCTTAAAACTCATCTGTTCAAGAAATCTCTGTAAACGCCAACTTTCCTGTACATAGAACCTGTATATATGTTATGCGCTTAGTTAGAGCATGTCCCTGAGTGATATATATGATGCGCTATAAAATTACGCTTATTATTATTATTATTATATTAAGAATGTTTCCGAATGTCCTTCCATTCCAGCTACTGCGAGCAACAGGCAAACCATACCATCCTGACTGCTTTGTGTGTGTCGTCTGTGGGAAGAGTCTAGATGGTGTCCCTTTTACTGTAGACGCAACAAACCAGATACATTGCATCGAGGACTTCCACAAGTAAGAGACATATTGACACTTTTCCTTGTATGGTTTTGAGATGTGGCGATTATCAGTTAGGTGATTCCAAAGAACAAAATATGATTCCAAAGGGGAAACTATGAAATTCAATTTGTCATGTGAAGATGTGAATATGGTCGAGCAAGTTCTCCATTTGTGAAGTCAGTTTGTTGTTCAAGACCTTAAACATCTGTTGGTCATTGATATATCAAGTATGTGTGACATATTGATATATACTGGTCATAAATAGCAAGGGATCATTAATATTTTAGGGATATTTTTCGTAAATTTTAAATTAATGAATTAAATATGTCATTTTTCTTGTATACTCAGTTCTTGCAATGTTCACTAAACACAAAAATGTCCCCAAATGTACTTAATTTCCTGTTTTTAGTTTATATATTTATAAATACATAGTGGGGCGGTGGGGTAGCCTAGTGGTTAAAGCGTTCGCTCGTCACGCCGAAGACCCGGGTTCGATTCCCCACGTGGGTACAATGTGTTATGCCCATTTCTGGTGTCCCCCGCCGTGATATTGCTGGAATATTGCTAATAGCGGTGTAAAACTAAACCTACTCACTCACTCACTATAAATACAGTCATCCCTGTCGGGTAGGCTAGTGGTTAAACCATTTGCTCGTCATCCCGAAGACCCAAATTAGATTCTCCACATGGGCAAAATGTGTGAAGCCCGTTTGTGGGGTCACATTATATGGAATATTGGTTACAATGGCATAAGATCATACTCACTCACTATATATATAGGTGAGGCTCCATGTCATGGTGTCCCTGTTTTAGATACTGTCTTTACAATACAGTTGGAGCAATGTTTGTCAGGCTGAAACCAAGCCCATTTACCTGTTTTGGCCAATGATTCTTAGTCTTGTCATGTGACAATTAGTTTGTTACACCTCGACTTTTGCAGGAAATTTGCCCCACGTTGCTGTAGCTGCCAGTTACCGATAATGCCAGAGACTGGGCAAGACGAAACTGTGAGGATTGTTGCCATGGACAGGAGTTTCCATGTTGACTGCTACAGATGTGAGGTAGGAACAGTTGGGGCAGATCTCTCTCACTGTTTCATTGTCTTGTTAGCAAGGTGGGGTAGCCTAGTGGTTAAAGCGTTAGCTGAAGACCTGGGTTCGATTCCCCACATGGGTACAGTGTGTGAAGCCCATTTGTGGTGTCCCCGCTGGGATATTGCTGGAATATTGCTAAAAGTGGCGTTAAACTAAACTCATTCACTCTTGTTAGCAACCCTGTTGGGGTCCATGTTAGAATTGGTCTTCAGCACCCCATGCTTGTTGTAAGAGGCGACAACAGGGATCAGGTGGTCAGGCTTGCTGACTTGGTTGACACATGTCATGGTATCAAAATTCCAATCAAGTGACAATAAGTTCTCAATGAGTTTGCTACTAGCTGGGTTATGGTATTATTTAATTACTGTAACAATGTGATGATCATGATACACAATTCAACAACAGTATTAATAATAATATTGTTTTTGTTGTCCAGGACCCCTGAAAATTAAGAGTATGAGTCCCAGGGACCCACAAATTCAGGACTACATGTAAATCCCTGCTAGACATCACACACTCACTCATGACTATTGTACTTTTCCCCAGGACTGTGGAATGCAGCTGTCCTCGGAGGCTGAGGGCCGGGGCTGCTACCCCTTGGACGAGCACATCCTGTGTAAAAACTGTAACGCCAAACGCATACAACAGATGACAACAAAGATGGCCACCGAACTTTAAGCATCAGGACTGCTGGAACAGGCTTGAGATCGTTAGAAGAACATCAGATAGAAGTTCAGAGATGTTTACGTCAGATTGCTGTTCAATCTTCATGTCCAAACATTTTCACAGGGACAGTAAAGAGAATTGATTGAAATTGAATATATGAGGCACATGATGTGTTTGTAGTGTTGAGACTTGAACGTTGTCCTGGAGTCCTTGAGGGGTTTTCTGTGGTACTATGTGCCATTCCTCAACGATGCCTAAATTGATCAAAGTGCTCTGATAATTCAATACTTTCACATAGATTTACAACTGTTGTAGTGCTCAGATCGTTTTGTGGCTCAGGCCCCAGTCAGCATTTGACTCGCTAAATGTTTAATATTTAACAATTAGGTAAACAAGGACAGCTTGATTTTCAGGCTTAATTTAAGGAACAGGTATAGTGTGTTCTTTTTCAATAATGTTCAATTTGAAGATATTGATGTGTGGACAAATATGGAAGCATTTTCAAATATGATTATGATGTTCATGTTTGTTATTCATAAATGTAACGAATATATTTCAGTTTTATTGACTTTTTAAAGATAACATGACATTTGCCTATATGAGAAAGAAATGTTCACCCGACATTATCTAAGAAGTCTGCAATTGTCAAATGTGACACCATATTCGACACCATTATTGCCTCTATCATATTACTGAAACACAATTTCAAGTATTTTCATGAGAAGAAGTCTGCAGAGTAATTCAGACAAATCTGAATATGCTTTTTGAAAATCAGTGGACTATTGGGGAAGCCTCAAGTCACTGGCCCCAAGGGTTTGTAGTTATTCCAATTGGAATGAGATAGAATTGTTCACTGTATGTTTTCTCTCAGTTTTGTACAGTTACTGTTGGTAACCAAATTGACCCTGTGAGAACTGGTAGTCTCAGGCTAGCTGACCATCATGAATTTTAAAGGTTGCTTTAATAACAGCCCATCACAGGGTTTCAAATTGGATAATTTTCTAGGGCACTGACAGATAGTCAGCCAATATGACAGCATTTGGATTCATAAATGCCCAATGGATAATTTATAAATTCATTGAAATTGTTCTGCGATTTGTCTCAAGCAAAGTTACTATAATTGCCACGTTTATTCACCGTCAGGTGTGATGTGTGTAGAATGTGGTAGCTCTTCTCTTATTTCCTGGTATGCATATTACCAAACATTTGATGCAATATGACGTATTATTGTGATAGCTCAAGCTGTTGTGCTTGCAACTTACATATATTTATTCTTAGTGATGCTGTATACAAAATGAAAGCTTTGCTGTAGTCTGTAGATTCATTGTTTGTTCTCATTTGTTTAGTGCAAGTATATTGGAACAAATATTAATGTTGATATATTGTTAGCCTTGTGGTAGCATACAATATGTTTAATTTGAAATGTGAAAGAGTTACGTCCCTTTACATGTAAAAAATAGGTTTTCATTTATTGGACTTTTTAACCATTTTTAACACTTGACAGAAATGGAAAAAAATATATTTGTGGGGTCAGTGGATCAATTATCTGGTATTAACAGAATATTGATCTGTTTTAGATTACTTAACCAGAGATATGTTTCAGAGTTTAAGTTTCTCATTCTGGTGTTGACGCTGGGAGTCCTGGAAATATTGTCGCTGTGTAGTCATTGCTTCTTTTAGTCCTTAACTGGAATTGGAGCTTGCAGACAAGAAAAGTGATGTTTTAATGTTTTTTATGCAAACATGTTGGGATTACTGACCTGAATCTCCCTTTAAAAAACCAAAACAAATATTTAAAATATGATGATGTCAATTTGGTGTAATGTACAGATTTTGACTCCTTGTTTATGAAGATGATATTTCATCCATACAAATATCTAAGCCTCTGGACCCATGAAGATCCGTTTTAGAATTGGTCTTCAGTAACCTATGCTTGTCGTAAGAAGCGACTAACAGGATCGGGCAGTCAGGTTTGCTGACTTGGTTGACATGTCATCGTATCCCAATTGTGTAGATCGATGCTCATGTTGTTGATCACCAGATTGTCTGGTCCAGACTCATTTATTTACAATCCATCGACATATAGCTGGAATATTGCTGAGTGTGGCATAACACTAAACTCACTACTACCACTCGAAGCCTCTGGATTTGACTAGTAGATCTACATTGTTAGATTTATTTCATGACAAATGTGCAAATTATAGATGTTGGCCTTAAACAGATGATCCTGATTGATTTATGTGATGCAGATATCTATAGATTATTTACTTGCAAAAAAGATATATCAAAATCTTCAGATTGTATATATCATTTATTAAGAGATTGTATGGCCAGAGACTATTCTTGCAAATGACCATATCCTATAATGAGGGTGCTTGATATACAGATTTCTTTGCCTCAAATATTGTTTCTATCTTTGATAATATATAGGGTTGAAATGATGTTGAAAGTGGGTATTCTTGTGGATGGAGACATATCAAACGTTCTTACCAGGTACTTTATTTCAGCAATTGATATTTTATACACCTATTTATAAATGTGCTTGTCCAGATACAAATGACAAAACTTTGATTTCTGATTTTATGGATGTTTCGATGGGAACAGACAGATATACACTTGACATATTATGAGAATTAGTTTTGAGAAGCAAGGATAGACAAAACATATCCTTAACAAAAGTGGTATGGCGTGTTTTATTAATTTTTCATTTAGTTTTTGTAAGAAGTATTCTGAATGTATATATTTGTTTAAGAAGGAATTGAAAAGGCAATATTCCATCCTTTGCAATATCTGGTATTTTCTTTTCCTGGATTATAGAATACTTGAACTGTACATTTAGAAGCATTAGCTCATCGTTTCCTCGTTTCTTACACAAGTAAGGGCGGTGGGCTAGCCTAGTGGTTAAAACGTCTGCTCGTCACGCCGAAGACCCGGGTTCGAATCCCCACATGGGTACAATATGTGAAGCCCATTTCTGGTGTTCCCTGCCATGATATAGCTGGAATATTGCTAAAAGCAGCATAAAACTGAACTCACTCACTCACTCACTCTTACACAGGTCCAAGGGAGATAATTCTTATGGTTACGGCATGGGTGGCTCAGGCAAAGTCACGACAATTTGCTGTGTTGTGCATCCCTTTGAATATGCAAAATGATGATAGGTTGAAATCCCAGTTAATTGGTTTTCTAGATTTATTTCCCCATACCCATATTTGTGGGTTTCATCAAATGGTAAATGCTAAAGACTTACATCACATTGGTCTGTCCTCCCACATCTGAGTGAGTGAGTGAGTGTAGATTTATGCCACTTCTAGTGTTATTCCAGCAATATCACAGTTGGGGTCACCAGAAAATTTAACCGGGCCTTTGGTGTGATGAGCGAACGCTTAAACCACTAGACTACCCCACCGCCCCACATTAAGCTGAAACGGCAGAAGTGGAATCCAGTTCGAGGTGGCATTGGAATCAGTCCACTGGCTGTAACAAAATTATTTGATGATACTGAACCTCAAGAAGTGACATACTGCATGGTCCTTGTGGGGGCGGTGGGGTAGCCATGTGGTTAAAGTGTTCACTTGTCACGCGCAAGACCCGGGTTTAATTCTCCACATGGGTACAATGTGTGAAGCCTATTTCTGGTGTCCCCCACCGTGATATTGCTGGAATATTGCTAAAAGCAGCATAAAACTCAATGCTATGGCCATAAAAGAAGTGAGTTGACTGGACCTTAATATGTAAGACAGTGTATCCTATTTTCAAACTGGGCATTAGAAGATTTCCCTGTGTTAGTTACTCCGTCCTGTGTTCTCAGATTGTGCATAATCAGCAAAAATGAAATGGTACTGTAGTTGTTCAACAAACCACAGAATCACACTGAATGATTAGATGCTAAACCATGCATGAAAATGTTGGCTATATTGCTGTACTTCAAAAATATTATTATCCCATCTGCCAGTTCTTTGCTGACCAAGATAAGTCTATTTGCGAAAAAAACCCAACTTTTTATGAATCTTGATGAAATTGTGTGCACAGTCATCTCAATAAAAGTATCTTCCCCAAAATATTCATGATAGCTGACTATTTTGTTCAGTATGTATTATGGGGCGGTGGGGTAGCCTAGTGGTTAAAGCGTTGGCTCGTCACGCCGAAGACCCGGGTTCGAATCCCCACATGGGTACAATGTGTGAAGCCCATTTTTGGTGTCCCCCGCCGTGATGTTGCTGGAATATTGCGAAAAGCGGCGTAAAACCAAACTCAGTCAGTCAGTCAGTCAGTCAGTATGTATTGACAAAGTTTACATGAATCCTAACCATTTTTTATGGACAATTTTGCTGGGTTAACCTCAGTCTTGTTCACTGCATCATAGTCCGGCACATGATTGGTGCCATCCTAAAAGACAGTCTAATGATTATTGTTGAAGTCATGTTTTGATATTGTTTTTATCGTTATAGCTGATAAAGAATCCGTGCAAATTTGTTAAAAATCTAGAAACTGTCTTAAAGTAATAATTGCATGAGGCTGCTGCATATCGCATAGAGCAAGTAGTCCACTGTAAACATTATCCATATAATTTGCATTTTTTTCCCTTTTGCAATAGCAAATGACTGCATTCTGAAACAAATAAGAATGTGTGTATTGCAATAATTTTCGACCAGGGCCTCCTTTGACAAAGCGCTAAGGTGATTTAAGTCACAAAGGTAACCTTAGTGCAATGTTAAAGAATGGTAGTTAAGGTTAACCTTAGTAAAGGTTGCATCATGAAAGGAGCCCCGGGCGAGTAGAAACTGTGTGAGCCATATAATGAAGAAAGTTTCATTGCTTGCAGGCTTTAGAGATTAGGTTGGAGTAATGTTGTTGACAATACTGACTAGAGTTGATGTTGTTGATCATAAGCGATAATCAACAAAAACACTAAAATTTCATGGCCAAGGACTGGTAATTTTTTGTAGACAGTAGAAGAGAATTTGGTCTTTGGTCTGCACCATTTTCTCCATTAACCCCATCCCCAAACACATGTAACATTTTTCACACAGGAAGGTATTTCTATATATTGCCATGAAAAATTGTTATGTATACCTTGTATGAATTATTTATTTGATCACGCATATGTAACCATGATTGTTGTGCTATAGTAACAAGCTGTGCAATGTGAATTGCATTTGGGAATGTTTTGGGCACAGAAGAGTTTGGTGATGCACATGTGATGGATGTTGATTTGGCATTAAGTGTTCACTATACATACAATTGGTAGTGTCGACTCGTGATATTTCATTGTCATGTTTGCTAGAAGTCCTTTTGAACATGCATGTGTGTCTTGGGCTGTATGGCTAAGGCAGTTGACAGATTTTCTCATTTTTATATGCTACAGTTATGATGTTCACTTTGCGCACAATGCATTTATGATCCTTACTTCAGCTTAAGTAGTGTTTCCAGGTCTGTCGGCTCCCTGTCAATTTGTTTCTAGGTTTGCCAGTGCCCTCTAGATGTGTTTCTAGGTTTATCAGCACCCCGTCTGTGTTTCTAGGTCCTGGGGTTGTCATCACCCTCTCGATGTGTGTCTAGGTCTGTCAGCACCCTCTTGATATGTGTCTAGGTCTGTCAGCACCCTCTTGATGTGTGTCTAGGTCTGTCAGCACCCTCTCGATATGTGTCTAGGTCTGTCAGCACCCTCTTGATGTGTGTCTAGGTCTGTCAGCACCCTCTTGATGTGTGTCTAGGTCTGTCAGCACCCTCTTGATGTGTTTCTAGGTCTGTCAGCACCCTCCTGATGTGTTTCTAGGTCTGTCAGCACCCTCCTGATGTGTTTCTAGGTCTGTCAACACCCTCCTGATGTGTTTCTAGGTCTGTCAACACCCTCCTGATGTGTTTCTAGGTCTGTCAGCACCCTCTTGATGTGTTTCTAGGTCTGTCAGCACCCTCTGGATGTGTTTCTAGGTCTGTCAGCACCCTCCTGATGTGTTTCTAGGTCTGTCAACACCCTCCTGATGTGTTTCTAGGTCTGTCAACACCCTCCTGATGTGTTTCTAGGTCTGTCAACACCCTCCTGATGTGTTTCTAGGTCTGCCAGCACCCTCCTGATGTGTTTCTAGGTCTGTCAACACCCTCCTGATGTGTTTCTAGGTCTGTCAGCACCCTCTTGATGTGTGTCTAGGTCTGTCAGCACCCTCCTGATATGTGTCCAGGTCTGTCAACACCCTCCTGATTTGTTTCTAGGTCTGTCAGCACCCTCCTGATGTGTTTCTATGTCTGTCAACACCCTCCTGATGTGTTTCTAGGTCTGTCAGCACCCTCTTGATATGTGTCTAGGTCTGTCAGCACCCTCTGGATGTGTTTCTAGGTCTGCCAGCACCCTCCTGATGTGTTTCTAGGTCTGTCAGCACCCTCTTGATATGTGTCTAGGTCTGTCAGCACCCTCTTGATATGTGTCCAGGTCTGTCAACACCCTCCTGATTTGTTTCTAGGTCTGTCAACACCCTCCTGATGTGTTTCTAGGTCTGTCAACACCCTCCTGATTTGTTTCCGGGTTTCTCATTATCCTGGCTGAAATATGGTACTGAACCAAGCTCACTCATGTCTCACTCATTTGGGAAATACTGACAACAAATTGTAACATGATTGTGATTGCCCACACTGGCTGGCCTCCACGAATTGTGCCCAATATGGCATAGACCAGTGTAAACAGTGGTTCTTACAGTGGTGTGGTGTGCATGTATCACTGTTATCACATCCATTTATGTTCAGATAGGGATGATAGTGGAAAAATGTGTACAGTGTTGGTTAAATATAGTCATATCTTGTCACTGACAATAGATTTTATATACCGGTAGGAGCGACTCAAATGCCCCCAACAATAGTCTATTGAGATCTAGGTGCTATGTGTTATTTTTTGTAAAGGACTTATATAATGGACACATGTTATTTTAGCTTTTCTGGTAGAAGTATATAGTGCTATATTGCCATCATTTCAGTGTATGCAAATATCATTATCCATCCATTGTATATATGTCATAAACCTCATGTGTAATTCCTACCAAGTTTTCATCTTTGAAATACCATCAAACTTTGAGATTGTAGACACAAGGCTTTGAGGGACATGTTGGGAAATATCCTTTGATATCTGTTATGACACACAGATAGTTTTGATGACTGGAGTGTTGGTTGCAGACATTATTATGCCAACTACATGATGTGGATCGGTTAATAATGATGTTGGTTGCATGGAACACTCTTTCGTTTCCTTCTGTCACAAATCCCACAGTAGTTTACAAGTTTGGACACTAACTAAGGAGCTGCGTTAAAGGCATGACCAGTGTCTCTTTTGTGAAGGTGCGTTCTCATGGTGAGACTTGTAGTAACAACTTGTAGCATACGACTTGTAGTAACAACCAAGATCGTAACGACTGCATTTGTGTACTTTTTAAGTCGCATACAACTTACATCTCACGATATTCTCACATATGACTGGATAACATGGAACCGTCGAGCGAAGAAGAAACGCTGACGTTAATGTCAGTCTTACATTTCGCAGGAAGACTGGATTCTTCGGCGGAACACGGCTGGAGCTTATCATTGCCTTTTTCGAGAACTTTATCAGGAAGATTCATGGTCACTGAAGAATTTTCTCCGTATGGATAAGTCAAATTTTGACATTTTGTTTTAGTCGTGTCTCGTACCTGTCACTCTGAGGTGGACACAGATTCTCCGCGATTTGATTGGTCCGACTTGTAGTAGGAATTAGGACAAATCCATGTATTACAACTCGGCTGCGACTAGTTTGCGACTTCAAATCGTTACGATTTGGGTGTTCTCATGTTGCAACTGTGTTGCATGCTTCAAGTTGTTGCTGCAAGCTGCACCCTGAGAACGCACCTTAATGAGAAATGTTTGGGGTTTTTAATGCCATGATCGAAATTGTCCGGTTAGATGAAGGCAATCAAAAATAGTCAAGGCTGGCAGACAATCCAATGACTGATTTCATGAGCATCGATCAACTCAACTGGGATACCATGACACACATCAACCATATCATCTAGCCAGACCACCCAATCCTGTCACTCACTTCTCATGGGTTGCGGAATACCAGTTTTAACTTGGATCTTCAGGAGTCTACCAGAAAAGAATTGGATGCAAAATGGATTGGGTGAACAATGCATCCTGAATTTTGGCTTGGATGGCAGTGACGTGGATTCTTTTCCCAACATCGACAAAATCTTATTGTGTTCTCACCCTCATGGAAGGCAATCTGACGAGAAACAATCAAACTAATTCAAACAAAATGTTGCCTGGTAACGGAATGGAATGAGTCACGGCCTTACTTGAATCCATTTCTTTTCCAGATTACTTGCAAATAATAGTGACAGTGTGTTCCCTTCAAAGAACCAAGCCCCTGACGATTGACAAAATGATTTGCCAAGTTCTTTATCTGTCATCATCATTGTTGTGTTTCTGGACTTGTCATGGCTACTGACAAACCCCGTGTCATATTTCATACTATTGTCTATTAAACTGTTAAAAGTCACTGTCATTTTAGTACAGCATATTGTGTGAGGTCCTTCTCCTTTGTTCGTTGTGGTCCTGTCTGTGTTAAAGGGGCGGTGGGGTAGCCTAGTGGTTAAAGCGTTGGCTCGTCACACCGAAGACCCGGGTTCGATTCTCCACATGGGTACTATGTGTGAAGCCCATTTCTGGTGTCCGCGGCCGTGATATTGCAGTAATATTGCTAAAAGCAGCGTAAAACCATACTCTCTCACTGTGTGTTAAATCTGTTCTGTACAAGTCCCTACGTGTTTACATTTGTATGCGTCTCATAGTGTTTATACATCGACATCTCATCATTGGTGCTTTAGCGCATATTTTACACAGCAAATAAATATACCCAACTGTTTTCATAGTTTGTGTTTCGTTTTATAAAATGTTTGCGTTGTTACTTTTGCCGGATACTAAACGCGAAGATCCGAGTTAGAACTGATCTTCAGTAACCCATGCTTGTCGTAAGAGGCGACTAACGGGATCGGGTGGTCAGGCTCGCTGACTTGGTTGACACATGTCATCGGTTCCCAATTGCGCAGATCGATGCTCATGCTGTTGATCACTGGATTGTCTGGTCCAGACTCGATTATATACAGACTGCCGCCATATAGCTGGAATATTGCTGTGTGCGGTGTGAAACTCAACTCACTCACTCATTCGTGGTATCAACACGTGTGTCTACACCTCAAGGTTATAATGACGTACATCACGGCTTGTCAGCTTAATGTGGCAGGAAAGGCGGAAGTGATGCAGATCCGAAGCCCCATTATATGGACAAAATATATACATATGTGTGTAATTTACACATAGAGTATATATAGTCACATGAGCGAAAACACGTTTACATATGTTCATGTCAGACAAAGGTTAACTTTATTTTACCATAAAATCAAGTATTTTCTAATCATTTGAGACACTGCTACGAGCAAGCTGGTCATTTTTGTTGTTGAGTTTTTAGCATGAATGTAAACATACTGACTGAGGCAACCATAGCTAATTCGTAAAAGGGGTCTGAGTATACCTACTGCGAGGAAGCTAGTGTGCGTGATGTGGACTTTTTTCCTCGAACAATTCAACTGGATTTCTAGATTATACATAATGAAAATTTCACATTATTTACGGCAACACGGATTAGCTAATAGCGCATTGCCGGGAAAGCCACATTCACACGACCACTCAACCATATCCATTGCCAGTTAAGCCACACCATTGTCAACTCCGTTTTTCTTAAATGTGGCTTTCCCGGGTTGTAACCGAGTTAAAAGAGAGACCCTGCAAGTATGGGATTATCGGATTACGTGAGGAAATGAATTTGTCTCAAAATTCTGGACTGGTTATTGTACTAAGTTGCGCAAGAGGACGGAACCCAGTCAGCAGGAAACGAGACTGTTGTGTAATCAATGTTTTGACTTGTTTTACCCGTGACCTCATAGCGTCCCCACGTGACCGGTAAACCCGAACAAATCCGTCATCCCCGATCATGGAATTTTACCCGTGACGTCAGAGAGTCCGGATAATTACATGTCCAAATATGGATGTGTAACTTCCATTGACAGGGTATAAATACGTTTACCATTCAGCTTACAGAATGGGGACGCTATGACGTCATCCTTCCGGTGACCTCAAAATTTTAGACTCAAGAGGCATATGTTCAACGAAATACAGAACCATGTACATATAATAAGTAAGTTACTAGTAATAGATTGGCCACCTTATGATCAAACTCAACAGAATCCCTCACATGAACCTCCTGTGCCAGAAAACATGGCTCTCTTGGCAAAGAATATAAAATGCTTATTTCGCAATTTGAAAAATTATCAACCCAGAATGTATCAACCGATTTCTCTCGTCATGCGAAAATGTCAATCCAGAATTTTTAATCCAATGTAATTTTGATAATTTTGTACCGCCAGTGTCGAGACCGTTTTCTCTTCCACATATCCCTGTGTGTTACGTAATCCACTTTGAGCGGCAGTCAGATGTTTAGAGTTATTTCATCAGTGTAAAACACCTCAGCAGAAATTGGCGAGATCATTCTACCGTTGTCAAGTAATATCGATCGACTCTCTTCCTTGACACCAGTAAAATATATGTATAGAAATGTCACAACATACTACACTGAATAAGTGAAAAGCATCTTGCCTTTATTGTAGGATTGAGAAACAAGTGACTGATGCAGATATAGTACACAAAATCAAATCTTACTGCAACATCGTCAACGTTTACCTATACAATGATGTGTTCATACTTCAAATGAGACGACTCCCGACAAATTAGATTAACATCTGTTATGGACACAGAAATAACACAGATGTTTCTGTACCCGTGGTGCAGAACGAATATATATTTGTGACAGTAATATCTTCAACAATTGCCTTGCCTGAAGAGTTATTAAATTACCACTATTGTCTCTCAATATGCCTTCAGCATGTGAAACATTTATGCAACAGTTTGTACCAACATACTCTATCACTGTCCTCAAACTAAACCTTCTCCTTTTTCTTTGTCCATTGGAACTGACATTGACCTTCAACTTGGCCAGTTTAAGGAGCTCCTGAAATGTCTTTTTTACGCCGTTGAGGTCCTTGGCACAAACATCCATGTACTTGGTTTTCCATTCTAGTCTGGCGAAACTTTCAGCACCAGTTTGCCCCGTGATTCTGTTATGAACTTCCGTGTCATTCTTGTTTCCAACCAAAAGGATCGGACATTTGTTGTTCCTCTTGATACGAATGATATCATCCCTGATCATGGCCACTGTCTCGAACGACGATTCATCGTCCAAAGAGAATACTAGAATAAATGCATCACCCGACTCAATTGCCATCCTTCTTCTTGTATCCACCTGGCGTGTCCACGATCTCCAGAGGCATTTGTCGTTCTTCCTCACCTATCAGAGTTGTCTGGGATTCAAGCTCAATGGTGAGCCAGTGTAAATCAAGAAATTCATTATGTAGGAACTGAGAGATGATGGCACTCTTCCCAACTCCAATAGCACCCAAAACAACGATCTTGAATGTTTCGTTGGTACTACCACTTGGCATGATTGAGATCAACTTTCAAAGGCGACTACTGCTTGTAGAGATGCAGATACTGTTGGGAGTCTTGTCTGAAGATACCTGGATCAGGTGTGAGGCTTTTATAGAAGAAGATGTTTAATAATAACTCTTATTTTTCACACGCCAGTCACGTAGAGAGTTCAAATTAAGCCTCTAACTGTACTAACTGGAGGCTCTGTTCATATGTTTGGCGCTACCTTTGTTGCCGAGCAATCACCAGTAATAGTATTGTGAACTTCTTTATTGCAATGAGTGCGACGTTTCGGTGTAGGTACTAAAACCGTTATCAAGCAAGTGATACCTACACCGAAACATCACACCCATTGCAATAAAGAAGTTAATGTGGCTTTTCCATCCTTACGAGGTACCCATTCACAGCTGGGTGGACTGGGACGCTTAGTCACAGTACTTTGTCCAACGCTTATCTGTACCCGCAACTAGGTGTTTGCACGTATTCATGTGGCCACCATCTGGTCATCTACCAACGGATTCGTGGGTTCTTTTAAGTGCACAGGGCTGTGTACTGTACACTAGGGGTTGTGACAACACTGAAAGAGTCTGCACACAAAGGTGACTCCAAGGTCCAGTAATAGTTGTTTAAGTTATAACAAGAGATGAAGTCTATTTAAGGTGGTCCTTATTATGACCATGATCATAACTCATCTCCGATGTTATACCGGCACATATTGCGCTAATACAATTGAGCAGGTGCGCTGTCATGACAAGTAGTTCGAAACAACCTGATAGGAAGAGAAGATACATTGTTCTGTTTGTTGTTTCACGCTGCACTCGGCAACGTTCCAGCTATATGACGGCGGTGTGAAAATAATCGAGTCTGGACCAGGCAATCCAGTGACTGACATCATGAGCATCGATCTACGAAAACGATGACATGTATCTCAACCAGTTCTAACCCGGTATATTGTGGAGATATTCTGACCCAGGGAAAAGTAGTAGATGAAATACAAATTATGTTCAAGTGTTTTAACACCGGTGACGTTGCTGAAACATTGGGGCATACGTGCTGAAAGGCTATATTGATAATACATGGCTGTGGTGAGATTCACTCCTATGATATCAGGTTCAAATGTTCAAATCCCATATTTTCCATCATGTTTCTGGATTTGTCAGCGTCTTGGGGAAAGGTCTGAGACTCTCTGTTAGTTAAAAACCAAGAGGTTCCCGACAACCAAATCTTTTAAGTTGAACCTCACGTCTGGCGAGGGTTGCTGGGGCCGCATTCGCACCAGGAATACCATGGCTTTCTAATTTAGCTACCTCTTAAGCATTGGTAACCCACCTACCGCTTGTTCTCATTCAGTTTTATTATCAGATAGGATCTCATTTCATTCCAGAAATAAAGAAGGCGAAACACTGCGACCTCTGACTTTATTATTATTTACCAGCGTACACGAGACTGTTAGTATATGTATGTCTGCATCACGAATCCTTCTGACACATGACAGTCTCTTGTCTCATTTGTAAATATCTATCTGTTATCAATTTATGTAATCTTCTTTGGCTTGAGATGTCAGGTTATTAGCTGAAAGTGACTGTACGTTTAGTTGAAGATGACTGTATGGGGAGTCTACTTTCCATAATTTATTTGTCCATGATATCCAACATAGCCTCCATGTCCATGATTGTGTTGACGACGGTTTCCACGGTGGTGTTCGTTTCCATGGTGGTGTTCACTTCCACGATGTGTTTGTAATACAGGTTGGGTTCTCTGTCTTCTGTAACTAGTCCACCAATCGTTATGTTGATGTTGAGGGCTGGGTCTCTGAGGTCCACGTCGTCTGTTTCCATTTCCTCTACTACTAAACAATGATTTCATTATACTCGACAAACCTTCACGTGTAAACTCTATTTGAGGATGTTGACCTCCCTCAGTTCCTGTATGATGATTGCGTCTACCATGACTGCTCATTCTCATATTTTTGTCCCGGGGTAACCTGCTCCTTGACCTTCTAAATTGTCGAGGGTCTGAGTCTTCGTCTTCACGCCCACGCTCTCCTTCGTCTTCAAGTCCATCCTCTCCTTCGTCTTCAAGTCCATCCTCTCCTTCGTCGTCAAGTCCACCCTCTCCTTCGTATTCGTCATCTGATTCTTCGGAAGTCACCGGTGTGCATGATCTTGTTTTCGTTTTTGTCTGTGGACAGGTGTCGCCTCCATCAACTAAGGACTGGGCCATTGTCTGCTGTTTAGTTCTTGGATAACACGCAGACCATTCCCCGGTATTTTCATATTCGCAAGACGAATCTGAAACACCGAAACTTATAAGGTGCCAAAGGAAACTGCAACCATGAGGGCCGAGTAAAATTTTTATAAATGAGCTACGTTCAAAAATGCATTAATTGGCTATTTTCTATTTTGTTGGAGAAAGGTTTTGTAGGAATTTTTCAGAATTAATCATATGAGAGCTACACATTAGCCTAAACGTAACATGACGCCAAAACTATACAGCCCCGATTACCTGGAAAAGCAGATTGTACTAGGTGCAACAGACAAAATAGCAGTTAAAACTACATCAGTGGATAAGTGAATATTAGGGATGACACAAGGTGTTTTCGCGAAAAGTGTAAGAATGTCCTGCAAGGCCGATAGTTCTCGATCGATATGAATTTCTTAAAAAGGCATATATGTTCCTGAAAAATATGTTGTACAATTTGCCAATTTCAAACTGCACATTGTGTGAGACTGTCGGAGGAGGAGGAGAAGGAGAAGGAGGAGGACTACTCTGAGCCACTCTAATGGTATCGGAACGTGTGTTGAGGAGATAGAGATACAGTACAACCAGAAATCATTGAGAATTTAAAGATTGTATTGTTTATATTTTTTTCACTCAGTACTTACGTATCAAATGTGAATATTAGCAGAACATAACTCCAGATTCAAAGACAGGTGAACAGTTGGTATTTTGTCAAGTCACCATGGGCAGCAATGCAGGCTTCAATGCGGCGGGGCATACTACTGATCAAAGAAGTTAGAAAGTCGTGGTCCATGCTGTCCCAATATCGGACCACCTCTTCTTTAATTTCAGCAATATTTGTCAGATTTTTCTTATTGACACTTTCCTTCATAAGTCACCAAACATTTTCTATTGGATTTAGGTCAGGGCTATATCTAATAATGTCATATCCACAAAATTCCATAGAACACGTGAGCAGATGGAAGTAAATGTCCCTCGAGAATATCTATGTACAGCTCACTGTTCATATTCCCTTCAAATACACAGAGGGGCGTTGCCCTTAACACAGATATGCCACCCCACACTACTGCATTGTTTATCACTGTGTATCCTGAACAGTTACTGACTCAATCTGGTAACTACTGCATTGTTTATCACTGTGTGTCATGAACAATTTCTGACTCAATCTGGGATTCACTGCATTGTGTATCACTGTGTGTCCTGAACAATAACTGAGACACTCTGGGATCCACTGCATCAGGACATGTTCTGAGCATTTATTGAGACAAACGACCGAGTGTGTCCGTGTTTTTGACCCTCTAAACTTTAGGACCATCCTCACCTTTGGATTCGTCCTTTGATTCTTCGTCAGTTTCTTCCTCATTTACTGATTCTGGTGTGCATGGCCTTGTTTTGGTTTTTGTCTGTGCACAGGTGTCTTCTCCATCAACTAAGAACTGAGCCATCGTCTGCTGCTTTGTTCTTGGATAACACACAGACCATTCGCCGGCGTCTTCATAGTAGCAAGACGAATCTGAAACACGGAGCCGATAATGTGCCAAAGAAATTGCAGCAACGACCTCGAGGAAAAGAGTGAAAAACATTAGCTTTTTGAATTGTCATTTTGTTTAAAGAAATGCTTTAAGGGGCTATTTTGTATTTCGTGTGAGTATTTCATAATCAGTTATATGAGAGCTACAGATTGGCATACATATAACATGACAACACCAAAGAATATGCAAACCGATTATCTGAAGAAGCAGATTGCAAATGGCAAAATATGTGAATTATATCATATCAATGGATCAGTGACAGTTTGTGATGACACCAGGTGTTTGCGAAAAGATCAAGGATGTCCTGCACGACCTGGGCCCACTTGCACAGAGCAATCTTAGTTACACCCTCAATCGCACTTTGCAGAATTTTCATGAAAAACATTCCAAGAAATCTTCGAAGGAAACGATTACGTGGACGATAGCATATATTTTTCTACACTTTAACTGTCTTGATTTATGAACTGAGAATGTGATATTTCAACCACGGAAATACCTACCCATGTTTTATGAAAATATTGAACTGCGAAAATATACATTCATAAATTTGGGTCTAGATTTAGTGACTTAATAATTATGAAAATTATAATAATATATCAAATATCGACAATATTTACTTTATTTAGGTGATATAACACCCAAATCCACGATTTGCCACTGGTTGTCAATGAGACATTGTTTAATGCACAGCTGGTTTTTTTCCTTTTTGTTTTTTTTGTGTATGTAAAATCCTAAATATACCCTAGAAGTATTGGTTTTCTCACAATATAACAAGAAAATGTAATATATGGCTACAGAAGTGTTGTAAAAAAATTCATGACGGGGAAATACGAATATCAAATAATATATCGATTGTTAAATATTCATTCACAGTATATTAATGATATGACCCTATTGTGTTGATAAATATTTTTCTAAAGTGAAATTAAAAATTGAATCTTGATTTTGCACGTTAACTTGTATCTAATTTTTGATTACTTTAATGATTAACTAAGACAAAATCACTCCATCACCGAAAAGAAAATATCTTGAACTCTGCGATTGGGCATGACAGACTCTACGGCAACGGCATGGGCCAGAAACCACTCCCATCTTGCCCATAAACTAAAATTATCTGCTCTTGAGTTAATGAAAGGTCACGGCCATTGTTAATCGCACGCGGACACCATTTGTTAGTATCCTTCCTTGATTATCAAAAGGTATGTTGTTTCACACTTATTCCAACATTGAATCGGGTGGGAATAGTACTTTGTGATATCGACTCAATAGTTCTGTGGTTCACTACAGCAAATAACAATGTATCCGACGTTAAATCGGTTTATGCATTCTCCGTGTTGTTGAAGTGAAATCAAATACCTGTCTGTCTGTCAACCTATTTATAAGGACGGCTGCTGAATAATTACTGAGACAAACTCGAAAACGCTACATTAGTATGTTTGCTTAACACTCACGGGATTCAGTTCAATTGTCAAGATAGTTGTCTAGTCATTTTGAGAAGTGAAGTTTCAAACGATGCATAATACTTACTCTCATCTGCAGAATTGTAACAACTATGTAAGAATCCCCTTTTTTATTTTTCTTCCGCCTTTAATACCATCCAGCCACACCTTTTGATGAGTAAACTGTTTAATCTAGATGTTCATAGCAGCATTATCAGATGGGTTAAAGAATTCATGTTACATAGAACTCAGCATGTCAGTGTCAATGGCTATTAATCGTCTTTTCTCTCAACCTCTACAGGAGCTCCATGGGGCTGTGTTCTTTCACCCTTACTCTTCATTTTGTATGCCAGTGACTGTTACTTGTCATTAAAAGACGTGTTTACTGTGAAATTCTCAGATGACGCCGCTGTTGTTGGCCTAATTTCTGATTCTGAACATAATTATCGCCAAGGCATTAAAAAATGTAAAGACGATTTTCTTTTTCTGAATGTAAAGAAAACTAAAACTAATGGTGGTTGATTTTCAGAGAAATAAGGAATCTCTACACCCACTTATATACTAGTATTTCATAATGTAATAAATGAAAGAGTGGACAATTACAATTATATCGAAGTCATTTTAGATTGAAAACTTTCGTTTTCAAAACATATCGATCACATTTACAAAAAAGGCCAACAGCGACAGTCACTTTATTTCCTCCGCCGCTTAAGAAACGTGTCTATTGACAAAGCCATAAAGACCGTTTTTTTCATCAAACCTTTATTCAAAGTGTGTTGACCTACAATTTTTTCTCTGTTGGTATGGGGGTCTGTCTGCTCGCAACAAAAACAAACTTTAAAAAAAATTGTTAATACTCCCAGCAAAATTGCTGGAGTGTCTTTCGAGTATATTCTCCTTTATCTATGAGCGCCAGATTGTCAAAATGGCAACTAAAATTAGATTTGATAGCACCCATATTTGATCTCACCATATTTAATGGAAAATGGACTCGGAGTCCAGCTAAACCCGATTCGTGCTAGAGTACTCGAGTACCCGTGGAAACTAGGGCTGCGCAATATAACCGGTTTACCGGTTTTTACCGGTTCAGACATGAAAACGATACGTATTGCGATACGCTAATCGAAAACCGGTATTTTGACATGCATTCGGAAAACTTCGTAACACTCGGAAATCTTCGGATATTTCCGTTTTTTGAATTGTTCTTTTCCCTGTTTCATTAGTGCCAAATGTTACTTACATTATTATTTTGTCATGATTAAAAGTTTTTGTTAAAGGTTAATCAATCATAGTGATTTTGTCGTGTTTTTGCTTTATAATCAAGCATTAACTCGATTATAAATAGTTTTTGTTAAAAAAATAATTCTTGCAATATATTGCAATACATATCGCAATATATGCTTCCGCATCGCAATTCATCGCAATATGAAAATTCTCTGCAATACCCACCCTTAGTGGAAACCCTTAGAAGTGTGAAAGAATCTGTTAGCAGTATAGACCAACGTGATGCAGGCAATGGACATTTGACATTTCCTTGAATTCTACCAGCATGAAAGTTGCCAATCCTGTTTTTATTATTTCTCGTAATTAAAGCTCTTAGTTTGTGAGCACCTCATTTGGAGGTGCTCACGAACTAAGAGCTATAATTTCGGATTCGAACTAAAAAGGTCTGTATTAACACAGCCGTACAATGAACAATAGCCACCCGTGGTTAAGTCACACAATATTGTTGTAGTGGAACTTACCCTGTCCTCCCGTCACCACGTGTACAGGAAGGCAGACCCCCACAACCATTAGCGCCAGATAATGAAGCTCCATTGTCACTGAAAACGAAAATGAACAAAGGGTGTCATGATCTCAAATATGCAGAATGTCAGAGTGAGTTCTGATTAATGTCGTTTGGTTTTCAGTATTAAAGGCATCATATCACACCGCACTTCTCTCAGCAAAATATTGCATTTCTCTCAATAATACTAACTATCAGCCCTCAGGGAAGCTACCATATAATTTATTCCCAAGAAAATTACGTATTTAGATTACAAAATTAAAATAAAAAGTTCGAATGAATTAATTCAACGTTGCAACGCCCTCTACCGGCCGAACTTTATTTCAAGCGAACCCCATATAGTTATGTCCCTTGGAGCGCTCTTTACGAATATCATACGCACAACTTGTGATTGAAACCAGTTCGGCAAACACCGACAACGCACAGGCCCTCGTGTCTTTGCGAGCATTAAAGATTGTATAAAATATATACAGAAAATTGAGATGACCCCCGACTCGAAATGCTTCACAGTATAATACATTATGGTGTATTGTACTGTGAAGCATTTCGAGTCGGCAGTCATCTCAAAAACAACATTTCTTTAATCATTAATCCTCGCAAAGACACGAGGGCCTGTGCGACAACGCCGCGTGCGACAGTTTTCGATGTACGGAGCAATTGTTTACATTTCCATGTATGGGAAGTGTTCTCTCTTTGGAAGCTGTTCGCCTCGAAGTTTCAATTATCGATTTCAGGCAAGTCGTAAGAGATAATAAGTATTTTATTGTATCAATAGGAAGCTAAAGTGGCGGGGGACAAAAGGATTGAACTCACAGTATACCCACTGGCAATCGAACGCGGTTTTGGCGTAACGAGAGAACACTCGAACCACTAACCCAGCCCACCTACACTTCAATATTCACATGTCAAAGTGAGTGAGTGAGTATAGTTTTGTGCCGCATTTAGCAATATCACAGCAATATCACGACGGGGGACGCCAGAAATGGGCTTCACACGTTGAACCCATGTAGGGAGTCGAACCCGGGTGTTTAGTCGTGACGAGAGGACGCTTTAACCATTAGGCGACCCTACCGCCCCAACAAGTCAAAGCAGGTCAGACGTATATCGTAGGAAAGCCCTAAGAGATGCCGTTCTTGCATGTTTACTATTTGATGGACCTCATAAGTACTGACAAATCTGGAATCATAACTACGGCGAACCGGGATTCGAACCCACAATCATGAGACCCTGACACGCGTAAGGGACGCAACTCTGCACAGACGATTTGACCACCCTTCCCACGTCGATATAACAAGGCCAAGCTATTTTAACATCGAGGTCATATTTTCACGCTGAACCTTGATTTCATTGTTTTCGTAATGTTTTGTATACAATAACTTGTCGTGGAAACTCGCAGTTTTGGGTCGAATTGTGTCAATATAAAACGTAATGCAGGAAAACAAAATTGTTTTTGGAAACGATACCTATCACGTTAAAACCAGTTTCTGTGTAAATTTAAGTGTCATATAATTTTGTCATGGAAACTCGTTGCTTCATGCCGCACGGTTTAAAAATATAATACTGATAAAGAAAAAGTACATGTTTTACAGTGGCAGTATTATTGTTTTCGGAAAAACTAACTATCGTCAAGCTGAAATTATTTTCCCTCCGAAAATCAAGCAATTTCTACCCTCTAAAGATTCTTGCGCCAAACAAAAAAACAAACAAACAAACAAGGTACTCACCACAGCTGCTCTGAAGGCAACGTCGAC